TCCCGTATGACCCTGAAATTTGGACAACTGATGTTGACATTCCACGTCCCACAGGCTAATGGTCGCGTCCGCGGAGGCAGTCAGGATTTTGGAGCAATCGTCAGCGATCCAGGTGATATCAAGAACGGCGTTCAAGTGGGCCTTAAACTCTGAAACGAACCAGCATAAAAAAGCAAATCGAAACACTGAAAATACATACCCCAAAGAGTGCGTAAAGGTGAATCACAGATAGTCTGTCTGGTATCATAAATCGATACGTAACCTGACTCAAAACACACGGCGAGCTGGTACCAATGCCTTGAGGCTAAAACGAGGCAATCATATTACAAGTTAAATCAGATGCAGAAATTCAGCAGAAAAAAGGGGAGAGCAACAAAACAATAAAACGATTTATGAGAACGCATATGAAAGGGTCTGTCACAGATGTTTGCATTAAGAAAGGCGCAGAGCTGTCAACCAAACATTACCTTGTTGTCAGCACGGTACAGGGTAAGAAATTGAGTATCAGACGACGATCTGATGGCAAAAGCAACCACAGAATAAAATGAGAAATGTTATCTTCCGAGGATACGAAAACAAAAGTTGGAAACAACATGGCACGACTGTTTGAACAGATCTCAGAGATAACCACTGAAGTGGAAACCTAGTTTGAGCTCTTTAAGAGTGAAACACTCGAGGTTGCCGCTGAATGTGCTGCCATTTCAAAGGGTTGGCCTGCCGCATGGAGGTCAGAAAAACACTTTCTAATGGGCATGAGAGGCACAACTAGCAATACATGAAAAAAGACTGCATGTAAGCAAAGAGTCTTCGATTCGCATACATTATGTAGACGCCCGCAAGGCGGCAGCAAAAACAATGTCGAAAGCCAAAGCTTATCCCTGGGAGAAGTTCGGAAAAGTGTTGGAGTCGAATTTTTAGATAGTAAACCAGGTATTTTGGCAGATCATCCACCGACTCCAAGGTAAAAACAAGGGTAGTCTAAAAGCCTTGAAGGACAGCTCTGGACACACTCTAACTGAAGATAAAGACATTCTTGGGCGATGGAGCGAGTAATTCGAGGAATTTCTTGTCCCAGAGTAACTGCGAGAAGACTCGTCTATAAAGCAATAGACAAGGGATGTTAGAATTTCTGTAGATGAAGTCATACTTTCGGGTAAAATGATGAAATCCGCCCTGAAATGCCCACAGCAATAGGTGAATAAGGCATGTGCTAGCTTAAAGTTTGTCAAACTGCAATAGCCACGGGGAAAATATCAGCGGACACGAGAATGGGGTTGTTGTACCCCGTGTTCCAATTATAGGGGCATTACCTTAATAAGCACCCAGGTAAAGTCTACGCGAAAGTGCTAGAAATGAGGTGCCGCGAAATAACTGACCTCAAGATACATGAAGAGCAGTGTGGCTTCCGGTCCAGTCGAAGCACCTCTGACTATATATTTTTCTTGCACCAGATTGTTGAGAAATCGTGGGAGTACACCCATCCGGTGTACGAGTTTTGTTGACCTAGAAAAATCCTAATACCGGATCCCGCGAAACAATCTATTGGCATGTCTGGTAACATATGGGATCCATGGTCAGTTGGTACGGGCAATCCAATCATCATATGATGAGAGCAGGTGCTGCGTCAGAGTAGGTGGCGCTAAGTCGAAACCTTTCAGCGTTGGCACTGGTGTCCGCCGAGGCTGCGTTCTGTCCCTCTTTTGTCTGGGTTGCACATGGACAGAATAATCAGGCGCGGCCAGGGCTGCGAGTGAATCAATGTAAATGTCAAGACGAGCATGTTGCTGTTTATAGATTTACCTTGTTTTGTTGGCATTATCTGAAGCTGATTTCCAGTACCTGAAAAGGTTTGCAGCCGAGTGCGGCGCGGTCAGCATGCAGGTGAATGTGTCCAAAAGCTTAGTGCTTTCTCATCCTGTTGTCCTGTCCTTCATTCAGGACATAAAGAAAGAAGAAGTGGAACAGGCAGAAAAGTTCACTTGGTGATCATGTTTACAGGTGGTAAAAAAGAAGAAGAGATCGACAGGAGAATTGGAATGGCCAGAACCGTGCTGCAAGAACTAGCCAGAACAGATATGAATGATGCAGAATCGAGTCTGCAGATTTGTGAAAGCTGTCTGTCTTCAAGTCGCTCTTCATCTCCATGCTCATCTACAGTTATGAGTCGTGGGAAGCGACTGATAAACTTCGATCTCAGGTGCAAGCGGCTAAAATTGTTTTCCCGAGACGAGTCGCTGGCATCACGTGTCTCACGGAAGTACGGATATTCGAAAGAACATTTGGTGTATTGGCTGCCTCTCCAGACTAAAAAGCTCCAGTGGTGACGGTTTCAGGGCAGGTCTTGAGATTGCTTCCAGAAGAAAAGGCGAAACTATGAGTAGTATGAGTACTTGCTCAGCCGACATATCGAAGATCGGGGGACAGCTAAGAATAACTTGGAGCAAGTGCATAAAAGGACTCTGCTCGAGATTATCTTCTGCTGACGGTCAAACGTTACAATCAGATCGGGAAAGCTGGAGGCAGTGTTTGACGAGTGTGCCTCTCCGACCCGAAAGGATAAACGGTCGTGGGTCGTAGAAATTGATTGATTGGCTTCTACTGGTTTTATCAGCATAACTTTTTTCTGTCATCTTTTTATTCCTTTTTGTGTTTGTGCCTGCTGGTCTTTTTCAATCGGTTAATAACACGTCGCTTACCGAAGAGAAAGTAAATCTGTTTACGCAGTGACCTCTGTTCTTAAATATCTGCATCATACCTCAGTAGAGTACAAAACATACAAATTTAAATGCCAAACAATAAAGTAAAAATCTCAATTTTCTTCTTTGATGCAGTAACTGGTGACTCATGTCAGAAATATTGTAAAACTGCAAACACTATCGACATCACAAACGGCTCAAGGTGATGATGAAATACATAAACGATACGAAGAATCTTGTGAAATATCACCAAAAAAAGCAAAATCACACGATAACACGAAGAAATTATTAAACATGCACTTACATTGGCAAAACGTAGCACTGATAATGTCCGACGGAACCTAAACAAGTAGTGATGTGAAATAACATTTCAAATAGGTTAACAGACTTCAGCAAAAGACACCAAACATTATAAACCAATGAGTTACGGGCTAATCAATTAAATGAACGCTACAAGACGAATAGAAAATTCAAAATATTAGCAGAGACACAGAGAAATGTCTTACATGAAGAACATTGCACATGTGCATGAATTTCGCAGCCAAAAGAGTCATTATCGCGGTTAGAAACCAAATGATAGAAGGTGAATTTTACACGGGTGCATAATGTGTTTGAGTCTCTCAGGTTTGGCGTTGAGGTAGGGAAAATGACGCTCGATACATCTGTTCTGGTAGGTATGCTAACATGCCTGAAATTAATAAATATGCAAGAGAAGCATTGAGTCGGAACTATATTTACTAGTGATGGAAAGTTGGAGGAAGAGATCGACCGGCGAATTGGAGTAGCCAGTG